GGGAAAGAAAGCCCCAGGCAGAGAAATCAGAAGGGGAAAACGCCGTGAGAAAGAAATATGTTTAGTGTGTTGAGAAATACCAAAGAAGCAGTGTGGTTAGAGCAAAGTGGACAGAGGGAGAGAGGGAAAGGAAATGAGTTTGAAGATGTAGCTAGAGGCCTTGGTAAAGACCTTGGGTTTTATTTTAAGTGTGCTGCTAGCCATTGAAAGCTTTTGAGTGATTTGAAGTAATTAATGTTTTGAAAGCTATCACTCTGGCTACTGTGTGGAAAGTGGACTGTAGGCAGATGGGGAGAGAGTGAAGAGAGCAGTTAGGGTGTGCTTTATTAGTGAAAGATGAATGGTAGTTTAGACCAGAATGGTAACAGTGAAGGTGGTGAAAAATAGGGCAATTCTGGGTATGTTTTGAAGGTAGAATCAATGGATTTTCATACAGATGGGATGTGAGGAAAGTTTTTTACAGCATTTGGGTGAATTAATGGTTTCCCATTCTGAAATAGAAAAAACTGAGGGAAGAACAGATTTGGGTAGGTTATAGATGTAAAAGTGGTTTTTTTTTTTACTTTTAAATTACATTTTACTTAGTAACTACAGAAAACCATTGTTTTTGCTAGTGAGAGCAATATGATTTTTTATTATTAATTAATTTATTATTGGCTGCGTTGGGTCTTCGTTGCTGCACGTGGGCTTTCTTTAGTTGTGGTGATTGGGGGCTACTCTGTTGCGGCATGCTGGCTTCTCATTGCGGTGACTTCTCTTGTTGCGGAGCACGGGCTCTAGGCACGAGGGCTTCAGTAGTGCCTTGCGGGCTCAGTAGTTGTGGCACATGGGTTTAGTTGCTCCGCAGCATGTTGGATCTTCCTGGATCAGGGCTCAAACCCATGTCCCCTGCATTGGCAGGCTGATTCTTAACCACTGCGCCACCAGGGAAGCCCGTGGTATGATTAAATATAGTTCTTCCTTTAAAAAAAAAAGAAACAAAAAACCAATTTGTGACTCTGTGATACTCCAGTTCAAAATTTTGGACTAGTTCACTTTATTACAATATTTGTAATTTTTAAAATCTTAAAAAAATTTAGATATAATTCACATAACAAAATTCACCCTTTTAATGTATAAAGTTTTTTTTGTTTTAACATGTAAAGTTTGAGATGTGTATTATACATCTAATTGGAGAGGGTGACAGTTGGAAATATGAACCTGGATTTGAGGAAGGGGAATGAACTTGGATTTGAGGAAGGGGACGTTAAAGAGATGAATAATTAGCATATAGGTAGTATTTAAAGCCAGGGGACTAGATGAGACCACCAGATTACCTCCTGTGGAAAGAGATTTTTAGGTCTGAACTCTGGGTAGTGTTTAGAAGAGATTTTTAGGTCTGAACTCTGGGTCACTCAGTGTTTAGATGTTAGGAGAAGGATTCAGCAGGATAATAAGAAGGAGCCAGGAGTAGTGAGGCATCACAGAATTCAACTGAAAAACATGTTTCAAAAAGGAGTAGTTTAGGGCTTCCCTTGTGGCATAGTGGTTAAGAATCTGCCTGCCTATGCAGGGGACACGGGTTCAATCCCTGGCCCAGGAAGGTCCCACATGCCGTGGAGCAGCTAAGCCTATGTGCCACAACTACTGAGCCTGTGCTCTAGAACCTGCGAGCCACAACTACTGAGCCCGCATGCCACAACTACTGAAGCCCGCATGCCTAGAGTCCTCAACAAGAGAAGCCACTGTAATGAGTA